TGCACAGGCTCCCCGGAAGCGGGGTGTGGAGAGTGACCTGTGCTCGCACACAGGCTTCTTGGTGGCGGCAGCAGCAGCCTTAGTGTCTCATGCCTGTCTGTGGGGTCTGCGCTGTTAGCCGCGGCTCACGCCCATCTCTGGAGCTCCTTTAAGCAGCGCTCTTAATCCCCTCTTGTCACGCACCAGGAAACAAAGAGGCAAGAAAACGTCTCTTGCCTCTTTGGCAGCCAGACTTTTCCCCGGACTCCCTCCCGGCCAGCCATGCTGCACTAACCCCCTCTGTAGGCTGTGTTCACGCCGCCAACCCCAGTCCTCTCCCTGCGCTCTGACCGAAGCCGGAGCCTCAGCTCCCAGCCCCGCCCGCCCCGGCGGGTGAGCAGAAGAGCCTCTCGGGCTGGTGAGTGCTGCTCGGCACTGATCCTCTGTGCGGGAATCTCCCTTCTTTGCCCTCCGCACCTCTGTTGCTGCGCTCTCCTCCACGGTTCCGAAGCTTCCCCCCTCCGCCACCCGCAGTCTCCGCCTGCCAAGGGGCTTCCTAGTGTGTGGAAACCTTTCCTCCTTCACAGCTCCCTCCCACTGGTGCAGGTCCCGTCCCTATTCTTTTGTCTCTGTTTATTCTTTTTTCTTTTGCCCTACCTAGGTACGTGGGGGGTTTCTTGCCTTTTGGGAGGTCTGAGGTGTTCTGCCAGCATTCAGTAGGTGTTCTGTAGGAGTTGTTCCACATGTAGATGTATTTCTGGTGTATCTGTGGGGAGGAAGGTGATCTTCGCGTCTTACTCTTCCGCCATCTTCCCCCTAAATGGTCTAGTTCTATTTTTTAAGATAATTTGTGGGCATTTTATTAAACTAAATGTAAACAACTTGAAGAGGGCAGATACATATATTGATTACTCTCTTATTACAGGTGTTGATATGTATTATAAAGAATATCATAGGCCCAAAAATGATCCGTGCTGTCATTTCTGTCTACTACTATGTGGACTTAATATCATCTCATATTAAAGAGATATCTGGCATATCCTGAACATTTTATCTCATGGCTTGTAAATGTAGAGCTATGTAAGCGACATTTGGTGCTTAAATATTCAACTCCTTACATATCAGCCATCCCTATTTGGTGTAGATGGAGAGAAGAAACCCTGTTAGTGATAACAAATCAAATGATGTTTGTGGCTTATGGGTAGTCAGTTTAATGGGTTAGAGATATCTCATTTGTCTTACTCTGTCTCCATCCCTTAAGTAAGAACAGAATTTTGTTGTTGTTGTTGTGGCACGCAGGCCTCTCACTGTTGTGGCCTCTCCCGTTGCGGAGCACAGGCTCCGGACGCGCAGGCTCAGCAGCCATGGCTCACGGGCCCAGCTGCTCCGCGGCATGTGGGATCTTCCCGGACCGGGGCACGAACCCATGTCCCCTGCATCGGCAGGCGGACTCTCAACCACTGTGCCACCAGGGAAGCCCAAGAACAGAATTTTGATGCTGAATTACAGCCACTTGGGTGATTGGTATGTTTTTTTAGCAGAGCTAATCTGATGAATGTTTTGAAGCTATAATTAAAAAAACTTCTAAAGCTTCACTGAGAAATAAAATGGACTTTACATAAATGTAATTTAAACCTACTTTTTAAGGCTCTATGTTTTAAAAACAAAAATGGCATTGTCAAAGTGTGACCTTTAAAGATATATTCAGGGAAGTCGTTTATCATATGAAATTTATTAGCCTCTGGGTGTTAGGAGTTCAAAATTACAACTTGCTTCTTAGCAAATGTGAAAAGTAATGTCTTCTGTTACAAGTTAACTTGCATTATGTCAGTTCATTTCTCTTTTAGCATGAAGTTATAAAATATTCATACATAATCAATATATATTTGCAATAGTATTAAAGGAAGCACTGTGTACTTGATAGTTGGAAATTATGAAACCATTTTCATGATTAAATCATCGCCATTATGTGAGTAAAATATTCAAATTAATCTATAGAACTATATAATCCTGCAACTTACAAGGTTCCTGTAGAGTATTGTCAGAACTTAGAATTTATCACTTCTTGTGCAGAAATACTTTTGGACTAACAGTATTTTAGTTGCCTGCCGTGTTTCAAATATTATTTTAGAAATGAGGAAAGACTGTTAAAAGAGGCTAAAAATTGCAGTCTTCACTATTTAAATGAAATAATAAGTATACCATGTAAAGATTTTAGAACACAATGAAACAATATTACAAGCAGATATAAAAATGACAGTAAAAATGATATGTGAAATTTTGAGGCAAATGAACTGTCAGTGACAGGTTTAACTTATTAGAGCAAGTTTCTTGTCAGAAAAATTTTTGACATTATTTTAAAGGAAGAATGTGAACTGGCCCAGAGAGCGGCTAAAACAAGCAGAAAGACTCGAACATGTCTCGTACAGAAGGGCAGACATGACTACTCTGTCAGTTAGCAAAGAATACAATTGACCCTCTGGTTTTATCTTAAAGTTTATAATAAGAGGCTGCTTAGCATAATAAAGAAACAGACAAGAATCAAAATACTTTCTCCATTCATTCAAGCAGATTACTTTTCTGAGCTCTGGTTATGAATAAGCATGCCAGTCTCATGGTGTGGTCATGAGGCTTAAAGGCGCTAAGCTAGGTACAGTGCTTGGCATTTAGTAGGCTCTAAACAAATATTAGTCCTTTTCCCTTTACAGGTCACATACAACACTATGCTATGTGGCCAGGAAATCTGTTAAGCTTTAATTACCTCCATATTAAGAGCAATTACAGTATACAGTCAAAAAGTTGAGCATATGATTGAGTAGCCTTTATTTTGGGTGCTCAGCTGCTGTCTCTGAACACGTTTTCTCCTAGTGCTCAGGTAGTTTAAAGGATGAGAAATAGTTCAAAGTTTCAGTAGGGCCTTAGCCTACCTCATTCCTTAATGCCATCTGCTGTGCTAAATGGATGTGGTCATAGGAATTGTTCTTCAGAATCATTCATAGAAACAAGTGCAGTGGGGAGACTAAGGGAGAAATTACCAGGAAGCTAAAGAACTCAAGCTGCAGAGACCTTCACCTGCTCAGATCTCCTTAGGCCTTGTATCTAATTTGCATTTGTAATTTACATGCTTCTCCTTTAAGAGGGCCCCCCAATTAGATAACCTTCAGGCCCAACAAAACCTGGGTCGACTCTCACTGGACTGTCAGGTAAAAGAATTCAACGTAATTGAAAAAGATGAGGTGGCCAATAGCAGAAAAAACAAATTTTGCTTCTACTGACCAAGTATTGATTGGTAGTTACCCTTGACCACAGATGCTTATATGCCCTTAACCACAAGCTAGCCCTCAACTATCCAGGAAGGTACTCTAGTCTAGCATCAGCCTAAGAATCACCCAATTGAAGAAGTGAGAAAGGAGATCACCTGGCAATCAGGGAGTGTCAGTTGCATTGCCCTGGTATTTAGTTTCTCACATTTTTAGGTAGGTGAAGGGGAAGGGATAGATGGAACCAATATTATACTGATCTGACTCAATATGTGCCCCCAAAATGTTTTAGTCACTGTATGTATATTATCACATTTTTATTCTCATGTAAGTAATATCATCTAAATTGTAGCTTGGGAGATAAGAAGTAACCTCCGTACTTACCTGTAACTTGACAGCAACAACAGAGGGAGGTGCTTAGTTGCACAGGTAGCATTGTATACACAGTCCTGTACAAGCATTTGCAAATGAAATTAGAGCTGGAAACTAAAATGGTACTGCAAATACACTTACACCTGCTATCATTTCCTTCCACAACAGGATTTCTTTTCCTTGACATTTATTTACAAAAATTTTACATAATCTTTTCTTTTAAGGAATCCTCTTCATCTCTTCTTATTCCCCAAGCCACCTCGTTCTTGCTGATCATAGCATCAACAAAACATACCTTCACAGCATTTTTTTAATTTGAATTTTATTAATTTTTTTATACAGCAGGTTCTTATTAGTTATCTATTTTATACATATTAGTGTATATATGTCCATCCCAATCTCCCAATTCATGCGACCACCACCACCAACCACCCCCCCCCGGCTTTCCCCCCTTGGTGTCCATACGTTTGTTCTCTACATCTGTGTCTCTATTTCTGCCTTGCAAACCGGTTCACCTGTACCATTCTTTATAGATTCCACATATATGCATTAATATATGATATTTGTTTTTCTCTTTCTGACTTACTTCACTCTGTATGACAGTCTCTAGGTCCATCCATGTCTCTACAAATGACCCAATTTTTTTCCTTTTTTATGGCTGAGTAATATTCCATTTTGTATATGTACCACAAGTTCTTTATCCATTTGTCTGTCAGTGGGCATTTAGGTTGCTTCCATGACCTGGCTGTTGTAAATAGTGCTGCAATGAACATTGGGGTGCATGTGTCTTTTTGAATTATGGTTTTCTCTGGGTATATGCCCAGGAGTGGGATTGCTGGGTTGTATGGTAGTTCTATTTTTAGTTTTTTAAGGAACCTCCATACTGTTCTCCATAGTGGCTGTATCAATTTACATTCCCACCAACAGTGCAGGAGGGTTCCCTTTTCTCCACACCCTCTCCAGCATTTGTTGTTTGTAGATTTTCTGATGGTGCCCATTCTAACCGGTGTGAGGTGAGACCTCCTTGTAGTTTTGATTTGCATTTCTCACCTTCACAGCATTTTAAATTGCCTCCTAATCATTGAGTTCGATGCATGTCTGGAAAGATAAGTGAGTTTTCTTTGGGATGTGTTTGTTTATATCTGTATTATTCAAAATAAGTCAACAGCTTGAGCACCTGAAATGTTATTGAGCTTTACACATGTTTAAAATGTTTGATACAAAGGTGGCCTGGGAGAGCATGATAATAAGCAAACTTACAGCCTCAGGAATGCTTTGTAAGGCTTTTATTTTGGTGAAACTAGTAACTGTTATTCCATACATTTGCCAGATTCTACTTTATAAAAAATTTAGTAACCTTTTTTTTCCTTCCCTCTTTCGCTGGTACAGATCCACATCCAGAGAACGGAAGGGTGTGACCATATGACTTGTTCACAATGTAACACTAATTTTTGTTATCGATGTGGGGAGAGATACCGCCAGCTCCGTTTCTTTGGAGACCACACATCAAACCTCAGTATATTTGGATGCAAATACCGCTACCTCCCAGAGAGACCTCATCTAAGGAGACTAGTGCGAGGGTCAGTCTGTGGTGAGTGTCTGACGTGACTTATACAATCTTCCCCAGGAAGGAAGCAGTGATGATGATAGAACTTAGGAATGTAATAGAATAGCCATGACGCATCTCAGCACCTGCCAGGTATTCTAGTAGAGCCTTTAGCTCAAAATAGGAGGAAGAATGTTTTCTCTCCCTTTGAGTTTAAAATAAAAAACTTGTTTGTTAGCAGGGCACTGCTTACATGAGCAAGCAGATTTTGTTCAAAAAACAAATAATTTATTACACTGCAGAAATATGAAGTCATTAGTCTTCTGTAAGCCACTTACCTATTGTAAGCCACTTGATGAAAGGGGACAATGTCACATTTCTTTTGTAGTGACAGTACCTAGCAGTGGGTCTTAGGCATATCCTCTATTCATCCATGGAAGACAAACAGTGCAATTTTAAAAATCCCTATGTTTCAGAGTCTTGTAATGGAGTTCCATTGTACCTATATAGTTGATAAGCCATTGTATATATTTGTATGTATTTTCTCTTGTATTAGTAGTTAATATTAATAGCTAACAGTTAATTAAATGAGCATCAAATGCCCTCATTGCATACAAACCCAAGTTTAAATATCCAAGTGCAATGCTTTTATGGATTGAATTTTTTACCCCTTTCTTCGTCCTCAACAACACACAGTCTCATATACAAATATGCAAAGATAAACACGGATTCCTGCTCTGGCCTAGTGTCACCACCTCTGAGTGATGCAGTGTTCTTCTGGCCTAGTAGTTCTTCCAATGGCTCCCTACTCCTCTGGAATATACCTACTGTGAGATTTCTTTCTTTTTCATCATGCAGAACTCCATTATTTCTTTCTCTGGCAGTCTTTCTCATGTATACACAATACTTTTTAACATTGTCTACGTTTCTTGCTTTCTACTTACTTGTGCCTGGTTACTTTGTGAGCCTATCTTTATATCACTCTTTAGCCCTCCATCACTTCATTACTATTGTAAACCGCTGTCCTCGCTAGAATCATGTCAGGCTAATCAGAACAAAGCTGATGGTAATAATATACTTCTGTCAGGTAAACAATAGAACATATATTTTAAATTTCATTTTATCATGGGGAAACCAGTACCATCATTTTCTAAAATCTTATATGATATCTATAAAAACACCCTTACTGAGCTTTAATTAAACATAATTTCCCACAACCAACAGCATTCAATATAGTCAAGATTGGTTTTAATGATTTTCAGTGCTTTTCTGTTTAGTTGCTTATAACGGTATATATTATATTTATATAACCAATATATACTTACTAGTTAAACAGACTTTAGAGGGATAGCTAGGGAATCTAACCACTATTTATAACAATATTACCATGAGAAAACTAACTGCAAAATTAAGTTTTGAGCTGTAACCTATTTGTAAGTCAGTCTGTACATACAGAAAGCAACCTAAAAACCAAAATCCTTACATTTCCTGCACTGTTAGTCCTTTCCTTTCCTACTTCAATGCCATTTTGTGGCAAAGTGTTTCCTTTCATTTTTGTTTTAAATAATCTTTGATTTGACCATGCTTTTTTTTTTTCCTTTTCGTTTTTCTGTTTAGTCATTCTTAAATAAGGAAAGTCATTTCCTGCCCTATTTGTTCAATAATATTTTGGGTGCATTCTCTTTGAGTCCTTTCACCATTTGCCTAGATGCCACTAGAATTCTCTTTCCAGGTCATAAAATAGAGTCAAGATATTTAACAGACTGTAGAATGGACAGCCCATAAACATTGTCAGCAGGGAAGTGTTTTCTTTGTACAGTCTTCTCTGTTTTTATTTTTAATTTTATGGTCAGCTTTCTATAAATGGTTTTCTTTTGGGCCCATTTTCTTTTCTGTGTATGTGTGTGTACTCGTGTGTGTCAGGATGAACCTGACAAAGGAGGGAGCAGCTGGCCCTATGATAAGCTCTCCCTCCTACACATATTTTTGCACCTCCAGCACAGCCGCCTCGAACTGCTGTTGGACCATCACTCCAAGTATAGCAGGGAAATGTGGACTTTTTTCCTGTGGACAAACAAGGAAAAAATACAATAATTCATGTTACCCATTACATTTTACAAAATCAGACAGAATGATTTTATAAGCAATGTTTTTAAATAAAAAGAGCAATTTAATTTCAAACATCTCATCCCTACAAAAGGTAGGAAAAGGTGTTACTCTGTAAGTCCCAAGGTTACCTTCTCCCTGCCATGGAAGAGAGTAGATGGATGACAGCAAAGCCCTCCTGCCCTCCATCCTTGCATGATGGAACCCAGTTTGCTCCTCAGTTTGGGACCACAGCCTGCAGATGTCCTTGGACAGAGACAGAGAAAGGGCCTGCCCTCCTCTCACAGCTGGAGGTTGGAAAACAAGGATGGTCATGTGACCATCTGCCCAGCCATAGATCAGAGGTTCTGCCTCTAGAGAATAAGGGAGAACAGCGATTTGAGGGTAATTAGCAGCCTCTGACATGCAGGTATCTCCCTGGTAGGGAGTAGGTAGGTTATTCAGTGAATGGTGTTGGGAATAAAAGTGACAGAAAGAATGCTTTGTTCTCATATACTTCCATACAAATATTGAAAATATTACATTAAAACATATAATAGGGGCTTCCCTGGTGGCGCAGTGGTTGAGAGTCCGCCTGCCGATGCAGGGGACACGGGTTCATGCCCCGGTCCGGGAAGATCCCACATGCCGCGGAGCGACTGGGCCCGTGAGCCATGGCCGCTGAGCCTGCGCGTCCGGAGCCTGTGCCCCGCAACGGGAGAGTCCACAACAGTGAGAGGCCCGAGTACCGCAAAAAAAAAAAAAAAAAAAACATATAATAATAAAGAACATACAGGTCCTTAACTGATTTCTAGTTGGCAAATAATTTATATGAACAAAAGCAATGGAGGCCCCCCCCCAAAATAAATATCACATTTTTCAAAAAGAAAAGAAAAAAAAAAAAGAAAAGAAGTCTGGAACCAGAATTGAAGAAATACAGATAGCCAATAAACATGTTTTAAAAGATTCAGTGTTATTAGTAGTCAGAGAAATGTAAAAAATGAAATTTTTTTCTGGATATTGATTAGCAAATATTTTGTCGAGTTAATACTCTATGCTGGACATCCATACTCTATTGAACGAACTGGAAATTTTGTGCAATTCTTTTACAAAGAAATTTGATAATAATGTGAAGGATATTTTAAAACATGATAAAACATCTAGGTTGACAACGGTTTATTTGCAAGTATAATTTTAAATAGCAGAAAAGGGAACAAAAAATAAATACTAAAATATTTAAATAAGCTAGAATATATGGATATAATAGAATACTATTTCAGCTATTGAGAATGGTATTTTAAAAGAATTATTATTGAGCTAGGAATTAGAGAATCTGTGCTTAAATGTCCTCAAGACAGTTTCAAAGGTAGACTTAACGTGTACTGAACATTGATTGCATGATTGTAATAAGTTTATTACTTCCAAAAGAGAAAGAGCACATATCTGGTTATTTGAGTTCTGTGATATTTGAAAATAAAAAAAAAATAGTGCTGTTACTTTGCAGTCATGTTTCATCACTATTATGAAAATATATTGATAATTACTTAAAAAGGAAACATGAATGAGCTCACTGAGCTACGTGTGTAGGAAAAAAACCAGATTCTTTTACAATATGCAAATCAATATAGTATAAACTCAAGTGTAGCTTTAAGAATGTACAAAATGTAATTGTTCAATGTGATTTAGTATTACTTGATTGATTCTGTCATTGGTGAAAAATGTAAGTAAACCCCATGGTTAGACATTGTGTCAATTGAATGGCAGTTTTTTCAAAATTAGATATTAAAAACTGTATTTTTTAATCTATGTTTTTTCTGTGGTTCCAAAGCTCCTTTCTTAAGAATAAAGAAGTTAATATTTTTCTGACAAATTTCCAACAGATGGCTGCATTATGTTTCTGTTTTTTAATGTAATTGGTTATTCCAAATTACTGTCCTTATTTATAGAATGGTGTTGCTAATTTATTTTCAACAGCTAAGGGAGTCTACTGCAAAGTCCCTCCATTCCTTCCTCTTCTCTTGTTGTGTTTGGGTTGTACAGCTATTGCTGTCACATGTCTTAAGATCAAGATTACTATGTAATGACAAGATATTAACTACTAGCCTCTATTTTTGTGCTAGTGCCTTTTAACGCTAGTAGGATTCCAGTTGTGAATTCTGTGCTATAACTAGAGTTTATTGTAATCACTGCTCAGTTATTCATTTAGAAAAAAAAGTGCTGGTTGATGCCATTTGGCATCCTTATAAGTGCTTCCTTTCTAAGTTTGTTAAAATGATTCATTTGAAAAACCTTCAATATATTGTATGTTTATTGGGAATTTTTTCTAACAATGGTATTGAAACATCCCATTTGTAATTCAGTGTATTAGGTGTTCATATAGTTAGTTTATTTTGGACCCAGGAAATAAATAAATCACATTTTCAGATGTGGACTTGGGCACAGCCCTCTGTAGCACCTACTAGCTCTCCATTTTGTGAGCTAATTAGATTTCCTCCTGCCGGCTCAGAATGTCACTCCTTTCTTAATCTTTCAGAATTTAAAAAATTTAAAATGGAAGAGATCTAAAGGAAAAACACAAAGATGAATGGTCCTGGTGGAATAAAGTGAACCAGTAGCTTTGGTATTTTCTTGCTTGTAAAGGATGATTTATGTGATGTATGACACGTGTGCCCAGGACTTGAGTGAAGTTACTGAACTTACATATGTGTATTTGTTCTACACCTGATATATTTCCTTAGAGAAATATTGCCTTAATTTTAAGGACTCCTTAAACAATAACATACATTGTGATATTAAAAAGCATTGCTGAAATTGTTTTTAGTTTTAGTTTAAGACTCTCTAAATGGTTTGCCTTTTGTTTTCCAGCTGGAAAATTATTCATTGCACCTCTAATTCTGGTCTTGGGATTAGCACTAGGGGCCATAGCAGTTGTAATCGGTAAGAAATACTTAATGTATCTGAGATGAGAATTCTCTGAGTGCCACAGAGAGAATATGAGTGTAAATGTAATAGTGAGTCAGTATTAAGTGTAGATGGTACCTGTTCCATGCTTGCTAGAAATAAGCAATCAGCACATGATTTATAGATTCAGAGGAGCGTGTTTCGTACAGGGTGTATTTGTGTGACACTTTCTCAGTCCATGAACACTTTGATTCATGTTTCTTATAAAGCATTATTAGTCCCCTTTTAATACAAAAGTTAATGTAACTAGTATCTTAGCAAAAGATTCCAGTAGACGAGAACCCAGATTTTCCAATTCTGAGTTCAGGTTGGAACATTGAAGAAAAGAGGCTCTGTTACACCTTTGGGTCTTCGGTTAGTTCTAGTAAAAGGGTTCCCTGGGTCAAAAAGATGCTTTTGATGTGGATAGGAACACGTACCCAGCATATACTTGAGCACTAACAAATAGAAAATGTATCAGTGATAAATATAGTTTTATTCATACAAGTATATTAAAATACGTACTTTCGAGCAATGGTTCTCAGACTCTGGAGTGCTTTATAAGAACCTTGAGGGTTGGTTAAAAAACAGGTTCCTGGTTCCTACTCACAGTTTCTGATTCAGTGTAGGGACCTAGTTCTAAAAAGTTAGGTGATGCTGATGCAGGTGGTCCAAGGATCCCACTTTGAGAACCATTGCTGTAGAGGATTTAAAATTAAACACTAGAGCTAAAGGCTGCTTTGATGATTGTTCCACATAGTAGATGGGATTTCTCTTGTTTCCTAAGTAAATTGATTTTTATATGTAAAGTTCTGTTTAGCAAGTAATTTGCATGTGCAGGAGAGATAGAATTATAAGGTAACTAACATTTAAGTTCTTACGGTGAATGAGGCTTTATGAAGTAAATACTATTATTATCTGCATTTTACAGTTGAGGAAATTAAGGCTTTACTAGGACCTCACAAGTGGTAGAACTGGGAATCAAAGCTGACATTTGCTCCACTGCCCATTTTCTTAAGTAACATGCTATATGGCCTGAAACTGAAGCATGAATATCAGTGTGCAAGTGATATGACTAGGGATAATAAAGAAGATTTAAGTTTTGATATTTTGATAAAAAACATTCATATCCAAACTGGTGTCACAGACTTCATTAAAAGGGGGAGAAGGAGCTGAAGAAAAATAATAAAGAATGAAATCTTGAAGAACTAAGTACATTTCATAGCATAGGTATCTTCCCTCTTTTCATTTTCATGTATTACTAAATAATGATTATTTATAAATAGCTTGCAAAATAAAAATTTGAAAATAGAAAATTTTCAAATCTATGATACTAAAAGCCTGTCCTCTTAATTAGCTTTAATCTTTTTTTTTTTTTTTTAATCCCCAGGTTTATTTGTATTTCCTATCTATTGCCTTTGTAAAAAACAGAGAAAACGATCACGGACAGGAATGCACTGGTAAATGCAGATGATTTCATCTGACTACGCTGGTCCGGGTAGGAGCTACACAGAATTATACACCTGTCTGAGGGTCACTTCTTGAAAACTGCCAAGAGGACCCTTTTGCCATCTCTTCTCCTGTGTTCTGTGCAGGCCACAATGCCTCTAGCTCCGGTGCATTCCCGACATGGTATCCTGTCCTTTCCTTATACAGATTGCTGCTTTTACAAAATGGTCACTTTCATAGACTATAAACATCTATATCATAACTCTGATCTTCTTAATGGTTCTTGGAAGAAAGTATTTTAATTAGAACCAGTTATCCTCACAACTGTCTGAGCATGCATCTCCTGAGCATTGCTTGGACCGTCTTTGTACCTGAATCTCCCTCCATGCCCTCTTCTGAGACTTGGTGTGAATAACTGAAGGTCCCACCTGTACCAACAAGCAAGGCCACTTTTCAGAAGATGAAGGCTCACCATATGCACCAATTTTCATCCGTGACCCAAGCAGTATAATTCCTTCATCCTTCAGATGCTATAATTGTTAAAAATCTCAATGCCCAAAAGGGAACTAATGAAACTAAACGAATGAGAAGAATCATAGTTACTGAAGTGTATATGTGTAGGGGTGTGAATGTGTGTGTATATACATATCTGTATTAAAACTAGGTCCAATACCTTGTACTTGTCAAGTTCCATGCCTACACTATTTTTCCACATTTTCATAGACATATTTAAAAATGATTGTTCCTTTGTGGGCATAATTTGGTAATGTACTGAATTAAAGTCAACGTACACAACAGGCTATTTTGATGTTGACCATTTCTATTTCTTTCTCTCTCTCTCTCTCTCTCTCTCTCTCTCTCTCTCTCTCTCTCACACACACACACACACACACACACACACACACACAGAAATTTGTGCAGTGTCACCTCAAGGATTATCAAACTTTATAAACTGATAAAACTAATAGGCTGCTTCTAGGAAATTCTCAAGACCTGAACGTTCTGTCTTCTTTTTCAGATTTCTTATATGTTGGCATACTTGCTTCACTCTATAATTAATTTAAATAAGTGTGCTGTAGAGAGAACTGCTGAGGCCTTTAAACATATCCCTATTCTGCTAATTTTTTAACCAACTTGTGATTACAATAATTATGCTTTAGGTTAAGCATATGATATTGTTTAAAACCCCACCCTCTCACCTCTCCTTTCCCTCTCTCTCTCTCTTTTACTCCTCAAGTTTTTCATAAACACAAATACTGTTTTTGAAGGATTTTTCTTATGTTTATTGCTCAAATGCATAATAATGTGTTGGTATTTTCTTATGGAGGGGTGATTTAAAACAAAACTTTTTGTATTCCTGGGTTTATCTAAAATATAAACTGCTTTTGGAGAAGGAAACAAAAAAAAATGAAAAAAATATTTTCAGGATGTTTTACCAAGCTGAGAAATCTTTAAAAATAAGGAAAGGACAAGTAACTAAACTGTGTTTTTTTTTTGTTTTCATCACGAATGTTCATCAGCAGAAGGGAATTAAAGACCTCTAAGAAGCTTAAAGTTTCCACTTGTCTCCAGATCCTTAACATTAGCTATTGGCGTAGATGTAGCATTTATTCTTCAACAACCTTTTCTGAATTGAAATAGATTATGTGATAAAACATGCATTAACATGGATAGTTTGTCTTGCTGGGCTCCAGAGTATAAGAACATTTATCATTCTTATTTGATCTGGAAAGTCTGTAATAGTGAAGTTTGCTTTCATGGATAACAAGCCAGCACTTCCATCCTTTTCTGAGTAACGCTCAGAAAAGCTATACTTTGGACTAGTCTATTTCCAGTTAGAGGAGGGTGTGCCATTTATGGCCTGGAATAGCATATTTCTAAAGCATAACATGATACAAGAAGAATCTAGTTTCACAAATTCCTCTTTCCATTCATCCAACCATCTATCCATCCAACAAATATTTATTGAGTGCCTATTCTACTTGCTCTAGTATTAAAACTGAGAGAATGGGAATTTCTAGCCCTAAATCCGTGTAATTCTGTTATAAAAGTGCTTAATTTATGTAAATTGCCCTTTCCTAGACTTGGGTGTTAGTTTGACAATGTGTGAATATGATTAATTCTAAATCTAGTGGATGTGTTTATGTATGTGTATGTATATATACTTAGACATATACATAGCTGTATATGAATACATATATACCATCTAGCTAAATAATATACTCTCTGGTCCTGGATAATCTATTTTCTTAGGTTATTGTATCTGTTGTCTTTGGCCTACTCAGGGATTTTTATTCCTTTCTTTGAATAATTTATCTTTTGGAGATATTTTTATATTATTTGGAAATGTTCCAATTTTCCACTTACAGAGCGGCGTTTGTTATCAGTGAAGGCTCTTTCATCAGCACTCACGATAGTGTGCACAGTGCTCACAGGATTTTCATTTTTCTATTGCATAGATTTAAAAAAATTAACATGTGCATTTTTCGCTTTCAAAGTTGGTATATATCAGGCCTTTCCCTGCTAGTGACTTAAAATAGTTATTTGTGAATTTTTTTGCTAAGTATCGTTAAGATCTTAAAAAGGGAGAAGAAAAATAAAAGATCATTTATATGTTAGTGCTAACTTGAAGTAAAACAATCGCACCTTTTGGGGTAAATTCTAAAAACGACTTTAACAAAAGCAGCATGCGTGTAAGATGAATATCTTTTTATCCAAGGCTTGTCATTTTTTGATATGTTTTCATTGTAAATTTAATATATGCTCCTTTTAAAAAAATCAAACTATATTGAATTATAAAATACAACTTCCTCTGCTTTTCCCCACCCCTTATTTTCTAGGGGTAACCACTGTTAATAATTTGGTATGTGTCTTTCCAGATACTATCTATAAATATACAAATAAGTATGCGTGTGTGTGTGTGTATCTGTGTGTGTATTCATTTTGTATAAATAGAATAATAATATGCTTACTGTCCTGTGACTATTTTTCATTTTACTATGAATTGGTAGACATCTTTCCATAAGAGTTTAAATAGATGTACCTCATTCTTTTGTCAATTACTACATATTCCATTGTGGGGCTATACTTTATTTAATCAGTCTCCTATTGAATGAACATCAAGTTTGTTTTCACTTCTCTATTACAAAGCATTAGTGAAGATGCTTTACATATATTTTTGTCACTGTGTGAACATTTTCATAAGTTTTTAAATTCGGTTTTTATATTAGTAATAAAATTTTAATGCACTTTCAATGAATGAGATCATAGAGATAATATACTTAAGGCCCTTTTCTTGGAGAAAGACTTGTGTAAAAGTGCATCATTTTTAAAGAAAAGCATCTTTTGCAGGATAATTCCCCCCCCATGCTTGATTAGCCAAATAAATATCTTGCCAACACTTACAAAAGAAAATTCACCTTATTCCAATAAAAATAAAATGCAATGAGATGTCTATAAGATAATGTGAGAAAGATGCATTGACATTTGGATTGCCTAGTTTTAAAACTTGAGGGATTTACATGAAATAGCCAAAGTGATCATGTTTGTCACGTTTTTTAAAACACTCTGCATGTTCATGCATGTTGCTCCACAGAGGAACTTAATTGTGCCGTTGTGAAAAGTAGGAAGCAACATGTTGGTAATTATGAATGACCACATTCTCCACAGAAAAATAATTTTGACTGTATGTGAGGTTTGGTGGTTTGTTGGGTTGCTCATAAACTTGGAATAACATGAAACCTTTATTTTACAATGAATCCCAGCATTTCCCTAAGAACTTCTGTATGTGAAGTTAAGAAAAGAGGGGTCAAACCTTTTGGCACAAACAACATTCTGTTGCCACCAACCTTGATTTTCTGATAAGTGCTATTGTATCCTAAAGGTAGAACAGACTGGAAAACAATCAAAGATAAATTAAACACTGGTCGGGTTACAACCTGGTACCTTTAATTGTACTTTCCTTGCTGTGATATCAGGGTTCAGTGGTGCCTGTCAGGAAATTCCCTGTCTTGTGTCACCCACCACCTCTTGAGTCCCAAGGCCACAGGTAGTCTTTATCTTTCAATCCTATCACCCAAATACATGGCCCGTGGATCCCCTAAAGGACCTTCAAAATACTCTTCCAGTCCCCAAACAATGCAACCTCATTTTTCTACACTCCTTTGAGATTCTAACCAGCTCCTCTACACTAGAAAAGAGGAGGAGAGAAAGGAGTGGGTTAAAAACTCACTCAGGCACGTGCAAAGCACTAGCATTCCTTCCAGACCTTTGTCAGATTGAGTACACGTGCCGCCAGATGGATCTGCTTTCTCCCCTGTTAAACAATGCAGTTGTTTTTAACACTAGACTTTTATGAGCTCTGTTAAATTCATAATTATAAAAAGTTAGTGGCCTGAATAATATCCATTGGTAACTTCATTAAGTACCAAAATAAAAATTCATGGCAAATGCCATTTTATATGTGAATTTTATATGCAGGCTGCATATATGCCTTAATGTGAGTCTTCCCATTGGATCATATGCTTAACCTTTCATATTTGTGGCTGAAATCTATCCCAACTATTGAAAGTAATCTTTCCTGTGGTCAACTTTATTGTTTTGTGTTAATGCTTAGTATAAATATAGCCTTAAGATCCAATAATGCACTTTAAAATACTTGTGCCATTTAAGCAATTTGACAAAGTTGAGGAAACTAATTGCAGTATTTTGATGGAGACGGTAGAATAACAGTATTAGCAAATATACGTCACCTCTTTAAATTTGGCGGGGGGTGGGGGAGGGAGGGGGTGGGTGGAATCAAGCTGAAAATTTAAAACAAGTAAAACATACCTGGAAAAGATGTAGCCAAGTTTCTGAAATTATAGTAATCCTAGAAATTGGTATTAGGAGCTCAAACGTAGCAAGTAATTAATGCATGTTACCTAATAACCTAGTTGGAATGTTTGTTTAAAATATTAAGTTAGTTTCTACTGAAAGTTTTAGCAGCATTTTTATTTTTCATGAAATCTATAAAAGAAATTCCACTGATTAGTAACATAGTAAATCAAAACTACCATCAACAGCCAGTTTGAGCATATTTTGTTTTTCAAATCATTGTGTTTTAATTATGACATTTTCCTCCTCTGGAAAATAAGTTGCAAGTCCCATTTTAATATGAATATCTATAATTATTACTTTAATAAAACTGAAATAATTTTATAGAGGCATTAAACTATGGTCTGAACAAAATCAGAGTTCCAAATTTGGGGAGTATTCAAGATTGTGAAATGCTACCTTTTCAATGCAAACCTTTATAAGAGAAAGGCATTCCTTCGTAACTCTGGTTTAGAGGATGGAACTAATACTCATTTCATAGCCAACTGTTGAGTGGGGCTTTTATTGTACATCACTGTTCTGAGGCTGGACTGTAGTCATTTTATCGAAATCCAACAAGCAGAGAGTCACAGAAGTGTGAGACTTGTAATTGTCTATTTGGGGCATTAGCTGAAGTCTTCATATATCACATACCTTACATTTTCTCATACATAGTGCCAATTTTAGCAGCATGTAATTATGCATATTATAAACTATATTCTTTTTTGACTAAAGAAGTGACTATTTTGAGAATAACAATATGGACTTAAAAGGCAATAAATTTAAAAGAAAACATAAAAAATTACTACTGCCTTTTTTTTTTTTGGCCACTTCCTTTTAGCTTATAAAAGAAATTTCATTAGGTATATTTACTTACTGCATTACTTAGATTACACAGACTTATTAGCATAGAAAAATTTTTTTTGTTTTTCAGGTCTATCCCACATTTTTGTCACTCTGTTCCATCATATTAAATGACTTTCTTCCCTGCTTGTGAAGTGATACTCACATACTTCAACATCAAGTTTCTGTTTTCTTTTTAGATTTCCTGGTTATCTTGCTTTTTCCCTCTGCAGTCCCCTTCCCATCTTGACGAAGTGTGGGATAAATTCTCTCACCATTAACTTTTTTGACTCAAATGAAATTCAAACTGAAAGGACTCCAGAATCTGGCCCTGGTAGTAAACGTAATATACCTTGGCTTCTTTTATCTGTAAGTTAAAACATCTCAGGAATACTTGGAACACGTCCCTCTTCCTGATAGGAGTTGGAGAACACTGCCCAGCCCTCTGACAAGAAGTAAAATGAATGAGACGTTATTTGAATCAGAGAGCATAGAAATACTGTGAAACCAAGCTTCAGAAATTGTTTCATGATTATTATAAGGTCAATATTGTGTTTGCCTATTAGTTGGACAGAAAGCACTTGTGGACATTGATCCAGTCTGACCCCAGATCATCCTTGATTCATCCAAAATGACCAGATGTGTGGTTTGGGGGTCTTTGTTTCAACAAAAAGTAGCACAGCTTGGACTTAGGGCTGGATTTATAATATATTGTCGCATTTGTACTTGACTGTGGATTCTTAGTTCTGGGAATGTTATTAGACTTTCTGATAATCTAAAGTGGATGGTATTACATGTAACTAATAGCAGCCCTATTCTAGAGAAACCATGCATCATTTGCCAATGTTCAACTTTTTCATTGATATGATTTAGATATAAACCACACTCAAGATATATTTAGCATAGGTTTATTACATGATATGGAAAAATTCAAGGGATAGTCAAACTTGGGTGTTAAAAATCCCCTCAAACTGCTGAGATGATGTTACTTCAGATTTTTCCTTGTAGCTGGCAGACCACATCGGTCATCAGTTCCCTGTAAAGTTAGGTGTTCACCTCATGCCCCAGCTGGAGAAATCATGTCAATAATCCAGTCAAGTTCTTAAAAATAATATTTTTTCATTAATATATTACTTCCTCTATGTCCAAATATAACTTTATTGTTTCCCTAGAGTAAATACTGTCTAAATATTTGATAGAAATATCTGAATATTTTTCAGTTTAAACAAAATTAGCATGCTTTATGTTCCTTTATAAAGAAAATTCTAGATAAAGTATGACTTTATCAACTATTACAAACCCTTTCTCTAAGACCTATTTTTTTAACATCTTTATTGCAGTATAATTGCTTTACAATGGTGTGTTAGTTTCTGCTTTGTAACAAAGTGAATCAGCTATACATATACATATATCACCATACCTCCTCCCTCTTGCGTCTCCCTCCCACCCTCCCTATCCCACCCCTCTAGGTGGTCACAAAGCCCCTAGCTGATCTCCCTGTGCTATGCCCCTGCTTCCTACTAGGTATCTATTTTACATTTGGTAGTGTATATATGTCCATGCCACTTTCTCACTTTGTCCCAGCTTACCCTTCCCCCTCCCCATGTCCTCATGTCCATTCTCTACGTCTGCATAAGACCTATTTTTTTAATTCCACGTGGCAACAGCTTAATTTTGTTATTTGATCATTTTCATCATAATTTAAATTCTGTAGATGGTCTTGAAAAAGGTGAACCAACCTTATATTTTGTATGAAACCTAGAACACTAATTGGTATATATATATGATATATATATGTTGCTTATGAAAGAAATTATTAATTTAATAAGTAGTAAATTCCGAGAGAACAGAAATAGTTCTGTGTAGAAGGAACACAAAAACAGTGGCATAAAAATGTTGTTATGTTAACACATTTTAACATAACATAACAACACATTATTTATTAAGAAGCCACAACAGTTGTTTTGTTTCTATTGTAAACAAAATTGGTTATAAGATATATTCATGAAACAAATTTATTTATATGTATATATATGTTGCAAAATTGTGGGCCTATTAAATTACTGTATTCACATTCTCCTTTTACTCAAAGAATGTAAAATGCTAAAAAGAAAAACATTTGGGTGTTTACGCTGCCATTACTGTATATTTAGAAATTGCAGTTCTAAAGAATAATTGTTACCTCCTGTTTGAATTACCAGAATATATCCCATTTTATCAATAATTACATACTCACAAACAATGGCAAATGAGAAGAATTTCTTAATTTTAAGAT